TCAACATTAACACACACACACACATGCTCATCAGAAACTCAACATTGATCATATTAATGTTTAGCAATTCCTTACGTTTAGACAGATGGACTAGTAAGAAGTCACTGTAATATTTTAATAAAAATTAAACATTGTCGACTCAAAAACTGCAATATCATATAATAATATATTTCCTTTTTTAGCTTTTGTGGTGGTGGGGGGGGGGGGGGGACACAAGAAAGACAGTTGAGAAAACAAGTCATGAAGGACCATACTCGTAGAAGATTCATTAAAATCCTTAGGTTGTCTCGTGAGCTGACATATTGTGTCATTACAGCTGAATTTGAGCGATCAAGTAACATATCTCCCAGCACCTGCAAAAGAGGAATAAAAGAAATCACTCAACAAATATATATGAACAGATTCAATTATCGAACAAGAATAAAAGTAGCAATAGAAGACATATAATAGCAAAGAGCTGAACAAACTCAAACCTACTACTATAACCAAACAAGTAAAGATTTATGAAAACATTTTCAAGAGGATAATCTCAGAATCCCAGACTTCTCATTCTTGCATTATAAAATTAGAGTTGAGATGAATAACAAACAAACTTAGATCATACCTTGACAGCTTGACGCCTTGTAATATAATTGGAAGATTCCAACAGCTTGGAGTTATATTCATCAAAAAACTGTAATTAATCACAAAGACAATGAGTAACAACGGGTGGTAACTACGATTATCATAGAAAGTATCATCCCTACCAAAACAAACTTTAAAAAGTGGTAGCTTTAAACTAGATTCCAAGATCAAGGCAAGTAAAAACACTTGTGTGGTTAATATTCATAAATAAATGTGGTTATGTATACGAGATAAAACCAATACAAAATAAAACATGTCAAGATAAACAGATAGACTTTCTAATGCAATCTATGCAACTAACAGAAAGTATTGTCCCCCTCCCAAAAAAAACGTTTTAAAAAGATTCCAAGAACAGGGTGAGGAAAAACACTTCGGTTGTTAACAATCATAAACAAATGCTGTCATGCATTTACAGCTGTTCTTTGAAATAAGTTTTATTACACAATATTTTAAAAAGTATTTTCTCCAATAACAAATTTCGTATAACTTAAACTTGAAAAAAACAATGATTCATTTTTCAAACTCCCTCTGGAAAACAATAATATCAATGTAAGAGTTACCAAAGAACTAAAATCATAATCTAAATGTGACCCTTTAGTACCAAACTACATACTATTACCATTAAACCTTCACAAATCAAGCATTCCTCCAATGAATCTAGCACCAAGAAGAATATTGCAAGAAGCGAAATATACACATGTGTGTAAACCTAAAAAATCATTGATTTTCTATTTAAATTGAGGGGGATAACCTACCCATTCATAATTCTTGGAAAGGAATTCGGCAACTGTAGATTTATGCCTCATCAAGAGCTCCTGCAACGATGACATGATATAACTCTCAACTTTCCCTAAAGAAAGGGCATGATACCAAAAACGAAAAAAATACCTTAAAAGTAGCTCCAGCATCTGCAGCTATGTCAAAATTTGGAAGTTGAATGTAGTCAAAAAACTTCTTCATATGAGGTGAGTCCAGAACATATCTGATATAAAGCAAAAAGTTACAACATCAAAAGTCACAACTCATAGAAGTTATTCTAGAAACAAATATAATGCATAGGCTGTCTCTGATTTTTCTTCATCTATTTATGCTTCAGTTTCCATAGGGGCTGCCTACACAATAGCATTATCGTGTAGCAAATAACATATATGGAAGTATTGGAATCAATAGCATCACCAATATGACTTCAAGATATAAAACTATTCTAGCATGGCCAAAATTATTGTTTCCACCAGTGAACATTAACTGCTTTAAATTTGAAATCACAAAAAAAAAACACCGTCGAATCTATTTGCTCCTTCCCCTTACTTAGCAACAATCTGGTGTCTTATACACTCTCTCAACATCGCACCGTAGTGTAAAGCCATGTCCATGTTTTCATAGCTACAAAAAGGAAACAACAGAGCTTGTCAATAATATCATGAGAGAATCAACAGAGGGCGAGCGCAATTTTATAAAGAGCACAACAAGAAACAGAAGTCACATGATCACGATAAGATACACAACAGTACAGACTTTCACCTAAAGAAACAGATAAAATGTAGCAATCAAGAACGATTGACTATAATCAACTGGCACCACAAAACTAAATTTACATTAAATCAAAATAGCGAGTGCACCTACCGACTGGAAAGCCAGCTAGAAAAATTAAAAAGACAAACATGAAAGAAACAAAAAGTTTGTCCAACAGTTGTAGCCTACCCAGATATCAACACATCCATGAGATCCAAATTTGTCTCCAAGTAATCGGACGCGATGAGCTTAGACTGAACCTGCTGCCTCTGTAAATTCGCAACAATTTGAGTGGCATCCTTCCGAGCCTGAAAAAATTCGAACAACACAACAAAAATCACCGAAAGAAATGAAATAATAAAATAAACGGTAACGCCTGTATCAAGCAATTACCTCCAAGTTTAACTTGGGAAGACATTGGATAAGGAGACGCAAGGTGTTTTCCTTGAAGAATTCCTGAGTGAGCTGCGCACAAGCCTCGGGGACCGGTTCGGATTCGCTGTTTCCATAGAGAATTGACTTCATCTCCCGGAGGTTTTTGGTGAGTTCGGCCGTCTGCAGAGAAGAGAAGAGAAAAAGTGGAAAACAATGGGAGGCGTAGAATGAGAGGTGCGATGCGAGGGAGAGTTGAAAATACCTTGTCGTCATCGCGGTTGGTGAGGCGGAGAAGATCTCGAGTATGGCGAACGATGTCGGAGGGAGTGCGGGGCTTGGACTTGAAGAGGCTCTTCATGGCGGGGGAATCCGGAGGGGAAAAAACCACCGCCTCCGACGAAGAGCCCCTCTTAGGCCCCTTGGGTTTGGACACGCACACTCCTATCTCCGCTTCTTCTTCTCTTACCCTATCCGATTCCGATGTTCAATTTTCAGTTCTCAACCTTCCTTAATTCACCCCACTCTCCTATCCCTTCACGTGAATTCACGCCTTTCTCATTTTTTCTCTCGTCATCATCATCGCCTTCATCATTTCCACCGTCTCATTCATTCCTCCATCTTCACTTCTTTTCTTTTTCTTTTTTCTTTCTCACATTCTTTTTATTTCTGTCTCTTTCGATATTTCCCTTCCTTGCCGATTTCAACAACCAAATCTACAGACAAAAGACAATCCCTCCATCCATATGTTGCCGATGCACCTCTTACTATATTCTCTTTTTTTATTTATTGAAAATTAAAAATTAGGTCAATTTTGCTTTTTAAGTCGCCATTGGAGGGAGAAACTAATAAGGAAGTGAAAAAATAAAATATATATATATAATAGGAAAAAAATCAGATTATTTAAATTAAAAGAAACATCATATAGATGAATTTATTTTTTAATATTCGACTGAATGAATTTAAAATAAAAAAAAGTGGGAAATAATGTATTGATAAAATTACCGTATTATTATAGTTAATTTTAATTAAATGTTATATTATAAATTTAGTAAAATTATTTGTGTTTAATATTTTTTTATTGTTAAATTTTTTTAATTACTGTTATTTATTATTTTTTTCTCTTTTTTAATGACTTTTTTTTATTGCGAGTGTTTGAGGTAAAGAAGAACACAATTATGAATTAGTGATTGCCTAAATGTTGGAAGATATATAAGATTTTTTATTTTTTTTTGTAAATTGCAAATTGACATGATATCGTGGATTGCTAATTGAAATTCTGATTTTCGAAATTATAATTGGGGTTTTTAATTTTACACATTATTTTCCACCAATCTAACACTTCTTTTTACCTAATAATTTTAACTTTTAACATTTCGTAAAATCGTGCTTCCTTTAATGACTTCAGTATAAATTATTTTAAACTAAAATCGTCTCACAACTTCATTATTAATTATTAGTGCAATAAGTTTGGAATTAAAGTTACTATCTCTTCAATGTAATTTAACTTTTTTATTAAAAAATGTAATTTAATTTTTTATTAAAGTCCACAGTAGAATATATATATATATATATATATATATATATATATATATAACATTATTGTTAAGAAATATACAATTATTAATATTGATTCTCTACAAATATTTTTTAAAATTATTTGTAAATATCTTTTGAAAAAGTAATTCTAAAAATATTTATAGATATTTTATGAAAAATATTTCACAATAAAAATTATAAGTATTTTTTTTAAATTATTTTTAAGAAAATTTGGAAATAAATCTTCACGTAATAGATAATTTACATGCAATAGATATTTTTTTGATAATATATAGTAATATAATTTAATTGTTACTTTTATTTAAGTAAATTAAAATATAAAATGAATAGCATTAGAGATAATAAACAGTTAAATAAAATAACTAATCATTGGATTTTAAATAATAAAAATAGTTTTTATTATATTCAAGTCAATGGTACCATGATTTCAATTCAAAATCAATACACTAAAGTTACGGGAATGATAATTTTATTTCAAAATCAATTTATACTATGACACCTTAGTTCAATACCTATTAAGTCATTAATGTTATGCTCAAATTCAGCTCAAAATACTGAAAACGTTAAAGGGAAAGGTGTTAAAATGCAAATTTTACTAAAATCGTTATGAATTAATAGAAATTATTTTATGCAAAAATTTTAACGTCGATTCCTTCTAATTAATTAGTGTTTAATCTAATTAAATATCTAATCAAATTATACGAAGAAAAAGTGATAGAATCTTACACATAAATCAAAATTGACAAAAACTTGCATATAAGTATCATGATGATCAAAACCGAGGCATCCTTTTAACGAATTCTTTCAAATAATGTCATCATTAACCAGTACAATTTAATTCCTTCTGTAAGATTCACAGAACATCTTCAATTTTAGAAACATCTTAACACGCAGAGGAATAATAAAATAAGATTCACAGAACATCTAGTTAACCTAACTTAAGATTTTATTAGTGTATATAATAATAATACACAGAAGATAGATAGGCACTACAAGACAACAGAACCATTAAACACGTACAGGGGTAAAGGAAGTGAGGTTCCTGAAATGCTGCCACGCTTTCTCCCACACAATTGCTTCGTAGTTGTTGGAAGAAGAACCGTCGGCGGCCGCTAGGGTAAGGCGGTAGTTGAGCCCTGCAACTACCTGAGTCTCGCCCTTCAATACCTTCTCCAACTTCAATTTCTGACCCGATCGCTTAACATACTCCGTAACCGCGTAATCTGCTATCTCCTTTACGTGAGGATCGTTGATGTTCTTGATGGGACTCCACCCTCCGCTCATATTGTCCTTCCTTGCAACCGCAGAAGCAAAGAGAACAAACATCAGAAGAATAAGGCACTGGAGAGGTTTCATAGTGACTGGTAACTGTTTCTTCTCTCTCTCTTTCTTTCACTTGAAACTTGAAATTTCAGGATTCTAATTTATAGCAGAAGCTCGAGGAAGGGGAATAGTTTTTATGGGTTGGATCGCACTGTATGTGCTTGGCCCATAAGAATAAAAGCCCATATAAAACATAACATGAGAGTTGGTTCCAAATATTTCATATAAATACTCTAAATAGGTTATTTAAGTTGAAACCACTGGTAATGCTCTGATTTATGAATTTTTATAAAATGCATGTACAAGTATTCGAAAAGAAAAATAGGAATTGAATTATTCAAACAATTGTGTACAGTCTTGTCTTATATAACAAGGCTCGTATTTCTTACAGGTGAACAAAATATATTATTTAATATATATATATATATATATATAATATGTTTAAAATTTTTATGTAGTTTCTAATGAGAATGAAACATTACTATTAATAATTAAATAAATACGTATTAAGTTTTATACATGCTAAATTTAGATTTTAAATTTTTTTAGAAATAAAAATACATTTATTTTACAATTAATTATCCTTATTTGCATAAATATCTATTTATAGATAAAACATAAAAATCTCGTTTCAAAATCTATAAATACTTAAATAATGTATTAACCTATGTAACTATGTGATTGTATTTATTGTAAATTTAAGACTTTATTATATAGAAACCTATCAACCATGTAATTGACTTCGGTATGAGTTATTTTGACATATATTCCCTTATATAGTTTCAAATTAAAATATTAAAGATTTAGGAGAACCCGAAAATAGAAACGATATTAAAAATTTGGAGAAAAAAAAATATGAAGAACAGTTTTGTTTGTAATTGCAACTCCACATTCAATACAATAACTTATGTTTTTTCATCAATATATATAAAAAAGAGAAATTTAATTAATATTTTGATGTCAATATTAAACACAAATATTCAATTATATCTTAATATCTTTTTTAACTTAATTGATTATCAATTTTGTTTAAAGTGTAATGTTAGCCTTTATGTTAAATTGAGATTAATGTCTATGATAGGTGTTAGGTATTAGTATCTTTAATTTTTGTTAGTGTTGTAAAAATGGGTTCTAACCCGCGAACCAACCCGGCTCACCGCGGGTTTGAGCCGGGTTTGGTTTGAAAAAAATGTAATTTTGTTTATGTAGGTTAGTTTTCAACCCGGCTCACTTAAAACTCGACTCACCAGGTTGAACTCGTGGTGAGTCGGGTTGACTCACTAACCCACCTAATTTAATTATTTATTATTTGTATTTCAATATTATTAGTTAGCATTTTTTTATTATATGGTAGATAGTGATAAAAAAGATTTTTCAAGAGAGAAAAATATTATTGTTTCAGATATTGTTTTGAAAATTTTAAATTTCATAAACTAATGACATTACTAAAATCAATTAAAAGAATATAGAAAACAAAATTTATAAGATTACATAATATAATTTTTTATTATATGAGTTTGTCGATACACTATAAATATATGAATATATGAGTTTATCAATACATTATAACATTTGTACACTAACTTATATTTATAACAAATATTCTCAACGTAATTTTTTATAGTCTATTCTTTATAGTTTAAAAAAGTTTATTCTATATTTTTTTCACATATTATATATTTTGTATTTTTACAAAATTTATTCTTTACATTTCTACTTTTAAAAATTATGAATAATTTTTCACGTTGATTTTATTCAAAATTTAATTATAAACATGATTTTTTTCTTCAACCTCTAAATATTTTTTATTATAATATATATTTACTAACATAAAAAATACATCAACCCATACTTATGTACCAGTTTTAAAACTAATTTTATTTAAAAGAAATTAATATATAAAATATAAAATTGAACAAGATGACGTGTACACTAGAAAATTTATTTTTTATAAATTATACAGCAAAATATATTTAAATATAAGTCATAACATCTCAAAAATTTTATTCAAGTAACTAACAATTAGTGATGCATATTTTTATTTGAGAAAGACATTTTATAGAGTTTTTTTTAAATGTAATTAAATATTAACACGAGAAACTTTATTCATGGACATAAAACTAATCAATTAACTATTCTTATATTTGAGTGTTTGGAGTGTATATATACAGTGAAAAAAATGACTCTCGGAAACTGCAAACATTGTTTTTGGCATGCTAATGGAAAACTAAGTTTGCAACTGGCCAATAAGAATGCTCAAAAGACAACGACAAAAACTTGGCATACGTTTCCAACCCAAAATTGGACAAACTATTCAAATTATCTCAATAAAATAACTAATGAAATTATTGCATTAGTTTTTCGGTTTAGAAAGATAATACTAATTAAAAATGGTTTCCAACACATACCATAACTTCCGTTTCTAAATTTCGTTTTTAAAATTTGGAGGGTTGTGTTATATATTTTTTCTTCTGATGGATATAAAATTTCGTTTTTAAATTTTAAAATTAGTAGTTTATCTTTAGGAAGATTTTATATTTTGACTATTAAATTGTTCGAAAATATTTTCCAAAAGGGCAAAATCGTAATGTGAAAAGGGGATTTCAAAAGGGGTAAATCATTGTCCAGAAAATGCAATATACTTGACACATTCCTGCATATAACCAACTTCAAAACATAGCAAAAATAAAGTTCATGCACATCGTACTAAATTATTTAACCGGAACAAGTTATTGAAGAAAGTTATGAACAAAGAAAATTGTTATTGTTGACTTTGTCCCCTTGTTCAAAAAAGAAATCACCACTCGTTCCATCTCGAATGTTTTATATTGATAAGCATATTTTCATTTCATTTTTGTAAAAAGAATAAAATATTATAACAAATTACACATCTTCTCTATATTTAAGCAGATTGCAGAATATCGAGTAGTTTTCAAGAAGAATTGCATTGATATACCAATTAATTAAAAATCAACCAGAAATTAGTAAACTAGTCATAATGAACTTGTTAGGTCGGACCAAAAGACTACATTCCAAAGTAAATCACATCATGTAATTTTATTTTAAACAATTCACATCTCCAACTTTTTTTGTCAATATAAACATGATGTTGCCATTCTGATTTATCATTTGTCGCATAACTGAAATCAAGAAAAATAAAATGTACTGAATTTCAAATTGAAATTAATAAATTTGTTACCATTAAGCTCATAATTTAACTTTTACTCCTTTCATTTCTATGATTTTATCAAAATTATAAACATGATGTTGTGATTCTCATTTATCATTTGTTGTAGAAGTGAAATTAAGAAAAACAAAACGTAATGAATTTCAAATTAAAATTAAAATTTAATAAATTTGTTACCAATCACGTTCATAGTTTAACTTCTACTCCTTTCATTTCTATGATTTTATCAAAATTGGTATTAAGAAACTAAATGTTTTGCAACTATTATGGGTTGATGTTAACATTTTTTTATGGGAGGTTTCTTGTTTTTTATTTTAGTTTTGAAATTATTGTAGATTTTAGCTTTTTACATATTTAATTACAATCAGAAGTGAAAATTTATAACACAACCCTCTAATCAAAAATCAACATCAACATCATCAATCATTTTGTTATTAAATTGAAAATCAAATGAACGAACATAGGAAGAGTAATAAATTACGGTGTCGTGGGTTGCTGTGAGTGGATGTGAGAGAGGATGGAGATGAGAGAGAAATAAATTGAATAAGTGAGAAATGTGGATTAGGGTTAGGTGAGTGTTTCTGATTTTTTTTCAGTTGGGACTAGACCAGGGATGACAGAGAAAATATTGGAGTGAGAGAGATGCTAGAAATATTATATCTTTTATCTTTATCTTTTATCTTTCAGTTAGTTTGTTATTATTTCTTATTTGTATTTTGGGCTTAGCCCATATTTCTTCTATTATTGTGTGTTTAACACAAGGGAGATTAATCCCATATATAATTTTCAATATATTTAACATGCTATCAGAGCAGGTTTTCTGATCTCTTCCGGTGGTCTTTGCTGTCTGCCGGCGGTCGGCCGTCATGGCCGCCGGCAGCCCCTAAAAATTTCATAAGATTCATTTTATTTTCTTCTTAAATCTCAGCACCCATAATCAAAGAGACAAGTCTCCTGGGAACCACTGCCTCCTCTGAACCAGTGGATCTGGATTGTTTCTTCAAGCGCGACCTAACCCTGGCGGTCGCCGTCTTTGTCTCATTTGCATGCGTTGTCACGCGCCTCCACTCTCCGGAAGTAGATCTCGAACGCGTGTTCATCACGCGCCGCCTTCTCGGTGTCGGTATCAAACCGCGCCGCTGCCAGTCGTCTCACCGAACCTCCCTTTCTCTGTTCAGACCTTCCAGAGCAGCCATTGCTGCCATCGACGTCTGTCTTCTTCTCGCCGCATGCTTCCGCATCTTCGGACCTCCTTCTTCTTTCTGCGTTTTTTTGTGCTTCGTCTCTATTGTAGAGGGTTTCGCCTCTGTATTATTGTTCTTGCCTTGTTCTTCCTTTCTTATTGTATCTGTCGCACAGATCTGCTGCGTTTATTGCCTCCTTCTCCGCTGCTCTTCTTCATTCACTTCTGAAGTTGAAGTGTTTATTGCCTCCTTCTCCGTTGCTCTCCTTCATCCACTTCTGAAGTTGAAGTGTTTATTGTCTCCTTCTCCGCTGCTCTCCTTCATCCACTTCTGAAGTTGAAGTGTTTATTGGCTCCTTCTCCGCTGCTCTCCTTCATCCACTTTTGAAGTTGAAGTGTTTATTTCCTCCTTCTCCGCTGCTCTCCTTCATCCACTTCTGAAGTTGAAGTGTTTATTGCCTCCTTCTCTTATGCTCTCCTTCATCAACTTCTGAAGTTAAAGTGTGTATTGCCTCCTTCTTCGCTGTTCTCCGCTGCTCTTCTTCATCCACTTCTGAAAAGTTGAAGTGTTTATTGTCTCCTTCTCCGCTGCTCTCCTTCATCCACTTTTGAAGTTTAAGTGTTTATTGCCTCCTCCTCCGTTGCTCTTGAAGACAAATCATCTAATTCAAAACCAAGTTCAATTATTTCAAGTTTGGTTCATACAATTTGTATGCTC